ATGCCCCCTCCAAAAAAGGGGGGGGGAAACATTGTGCAGGCCCCTAGGAAGCAATTTCAGTTGGAGGCGGGAGGGGGGGTTACTACCAAAAATTCAAATTTTCTTGACAAGCAAAAAAAAAAAAAAAAACAAAAAAACAAAACAAAAACAAAAACAAAACAAAACAAACAAAAAACAAGATGTGTTTGTGAAACACTGATGCCCCAGTATGGCAACTTAGAGCAAAGGTTAAACTTTCTCAAATGCAAATCAAATATGTTACTGCCCAAAGTAAGGTTTCGTTTTGAGAAATATTCCTTTGAAAAATGAAAGCCCTAACAGCAACCACTGAATAGATATGGAAAAGGCTAAAGTTTTTCAAAAGTAAGTCAAACAGCAAGGTCAAGGTCAAATGGTCAAAATTAATGGTGCCCAAGGAAAGGCCTTCTCACAAGAAATACACGTGACATATGAAAGCCGTAGCACAAATCGTTCAAAAGTTATGGCCAAGGTTAAAGTTTTTCAAAAGTAGGTCAAACTTCAAGGTCAAGGTCAATGAATTACAATTGCTGGTATCCAAAGGAAGGTCTTGTCACAAGGAATGGACATGTTAAATATGAAAGTCCTAACACCAACAGTTCAAAAGTTATGACCAAGGTTGAAGTTTTCCAAAAGTAGGTCAAATTTCAAGGTCAAAGGGTCAAAGTTGTTGGTATCCAAAGGAAGGTCTTGTCACAAGGATTACATATGTGAAGTATGAAAGCCCTAGCACCCACCGGTCAAAACTTATGACCAAGGTTAAAGTTTTCCAAAAGTAGGTCAAACTCCAAGGTCAAAGGGTCAAGGTTCTTGATATCCAAAGGAATATCTTGTTACAAGGATTACATATGTGAAGTTTGAAAGCCCTAGCACCAACCGTTCAAAAGTTATGGCTAGTCGCCCGCGTGGCACAGTGGTTAGAGCGTTCGCTCTAGATTCGTGGCGTAAGGAGTTGATCCTTACGTCGCGGGTTCGAATTCCACTGTGGGACGTGGAGCCCGGTCCTTCTGATGAGACCATATAAACCGAGGTCCCGTGTCACAGTAGATGCTGGCACGAAAAAGATCCCTCACTGCTCAATGGCCATAAGTGCCGAGTATAGGACAAAATTTGCAGCTTTCCACCGGCAAGTGGTGGCGTCTCCATATGAGTGACCCCACTGTGGGACGTGGAGACCGGTCCTTCAGATGAGACCGTATAAACCGAGGTCCCGTGTCGCAGTAGGTGCTGGCACGAAAAAGATCCCTCACTGCTCAATGGCCGTAAGTGCCAAGTATAGGACAAAATTTGCAGCTCACCACCGGCAAGTGGTGGCGTCTCCATATGAGTGAAAAATTCTCAAGAGGGACGTTAAACAACATACAAACAAACAAACAAAAGTTATGGCTAAGGTTAAAGTTTTCAAAAAGAAGGTCAAACTCCGTCAAGGTCAAAGGGTCAAATTTGTTGGTATCCAAAGTAAGGTTTTGTCACAAGGATTACACATGTAAAGTATGAAAGCACTAGGACCAACTTTTCAAAAGTTACAACCAAGGTCAAAGGGTCAAAGTTGTTGGTATCCAAAGGAAGGTCTTGTCACAAGGATTACATATGTGAAGTATGAATGCCCTATCAACAACTTTTCAAAAGTTATGGCCAAGGTTAAAGTTCAGTAAAACTTTGCAAAAACTGGGTTAAACTCCAAGATCAAGGTCAAAAATGTCAAATATGATAGAACCCAAAGAAAGGTCTTGTCACAAGGAATACGCATGCGAAATATGAAAGCCATAGCTCTAACCAATCAAAAGTTACGGGCAATGTTAAAGTTTTTGCAGATAAACGGACACACAGACAGATAGACGGACAGGGCAAAAACTATATAATCCCAAATCTTCAATCATAAAAGAAGGTCATCAGATGTTATTATTGAAGGACACAAGCTTATAGTAGGTATGTTCTCTATTGTATTCTGAATATTGGCAACATTACTGGGGAGGTTTTAGGTTTGATATTTGCATGGGGTTTGTAATATTTCTTTTTTAACAATCAATTATCTGTTTTGTTGATGTTTTACTGATTTATTAAAAATCTAAAACTATTCTGTCTATGTTTTACTGACTTATTAAAGTTTAAAAATAGTTATCTCTTGGTTCAATCACAGACCAGAAGAGCTTATGCGATAGTAATGTGTCGGTCCGTCTGTCTGTAAACAATTTTTCAAAACGCTACTCCTCCTATAGTTTTGTTCCGATTTCAATATAACTTGGTACACAAGAGGCCCATGGGCCACATCGCTCACCTGAGCACATTGGCTAGGCAAAAGCACATATCAGTTCAGTATTGAAAAGGTTACCGGGGGGGGGGGGGGGGTGATACCTGATGATGCTTCCATGTCAATATAACAAATGGCTTCGTGTACTTGAGTAAATTTTGAAAAAATTTTCTCATATAATCCTTTGTAAAAATTTGATCCCCCAATGTGGCTCCTCCCTATCCCAGAGGTCAATATTTGAACAAACTTGAATCTACACTACCTGAGGATGCTTCCATATCAATATGACTAAACATAGCTTTTCTGTTCTTGAGAAGAAATATTTTTTCTGCATGTTCTTATGTAAAAATTTCGATCCCCCATTGGGCATTGGGCCCCACCCTACCCCAGGGGTCATCATTTGAACGAATTATAATTTACACTATCTGAGGATGCTTCCATATCAAAATGACTAAACATGATTTTCAGTTCTTGAGAAGAGGATATTTTCCTATATGTTCCTATGTAAAATTTTCGACCCCCCATTGGGGCCATTCCCTATCCCCGGGGGGTCATCATTTTAACAAACTTGAATCTACACTACCTGAGGATGCTTCCATATCAAAATGACTAATCATGGCTTTGCATGGTTTTTCATCAGAAGATATTTTCCTATATATTTCTATTTAAGACTTTGATCCTCCATTGTGGCCCCACCCTACCTCAGGGGGTCATGATTTGAACAATCTTGAATTTACACTACCTGAGGATACTTCCACATAAATATGATCAATCAGGGCTTTGCTGTTCTTGAGAAGAAGATTTTTAAAGTTTTTCCTATATATTTCTATGTAAAACTTTGATCCTCCATTGTGGCCCCACCCTACCCCCAGGGGTCATGATTTGAACAAATCTGAATTTTTACTACCTGATGATGCTTCCATATAAATATGACCAATCAGGGCTTTGCTGTTCTTGAGAAGAAGATTTTTAAAATTTTTCCTATATATTTCTATGTAAAACTTTGATCCTCCATTGTGGCCCCGCCCTACCCTCGGGGGTCATGATTTGAACAAACTTGAATCTTCACTACTTGATGATGCTTTCGTATAAATATGACCAATTAGGGCTTTGCTGTTCTTGAGAAGAAGATTTTTAAAGGTTTTTCCTATATATTTCTATGTAAAACTTTGATCCTCCATTGTGGCCCCGCCCTACCCCCGGGGGTCATGATTTGAACAAACTTGAATCTACACTACCTGATGATGCTTTCATGTAAATATGACCAATTAGGGCTTTGCTGTTCTTGAAAAGAAGATTTTTAAAGGTTTTTCCTATATATTTCTATGTAAAACTTTGATCCTCCATTGTGGCCCCACCCTACCCCCGGGGGTCTTGATTTGAACAAACTTGAATCTACACTACCTGAGGATGCTTCCACATGAGTTTCATCTTCCCTGGCTCTGTGGTTCTTGACAAGAAGATTTTTAAAAGATGCTATTAATTTTTCACTAATTCTTTATTATCTCCCCTTGAAAGAGGGCATGGCCCTTCATTTGAACAAACCTGAATCCCCTTCACCCAAGGATACTTTGTGGCAAGTTTGGTTGAAATTGGCCCAGTGGTTCTTGAGAAGAAGATGAAAATGTGAAAAGTTTACGACAACAACGACGCCGACGACGACGCCGACGCCGACAGACAACGGACAAATTTTGATCAGAAAAGCTCACTTGAGCCTTTGGCTCAGGTGAGCTAACAAGTAGACTACAATGAGATACTTAATTGCTATAATTACTAAAAATAGAAATTCCTGTGGAATTCTTTCAAAACGCCATTCCTCCTAGTTTTAATTCGATTACAAAATATCTTGGTACACAAGTAGGCTACATTAAGATACACAATATTGGTTTTTGTTTTTATTGAAGTGTTTCCATGGTTCTTTGGTTACTAAAAATAGAAATTTCTGTAAAATTTTTCAAAATATTATTCCTCCTACAATTTTTGTTCAATTGCAATTGAACTTGACTCAGAAAGAGACTAAACCAAGGATCATTTTATTATTTATTGATGGTGCCATAGTTTCAAGTCCAATTGCTACCTTTCTCTACTTTTTTGTTTTAAGTAAAAACTAGTAGAGCTACAGTCTCTTCAGAGACTTCTGGATTGATTTCATTGAACTGTTGCCATGTTTACTAAAAATAGAAATTTCTGTGAAATTCTTTCAAAATGTTACTTCTACTACAGTTTTTGTCCAAACTGCAATTAAACTAACTCAAAATGAAAACTAAGGATCATTATTTTATTTATTGCTGTTGCCATAGTTTCAAGTCCCAAGTGCTACCTTTCTCTACGTTTGTTGAGTAAATACCAGTAGAGCTACAGTTTCATCAGATAATTTGTCCACTAAGGAGATGCTTCATCTTTGTTTAGGAGGAAGATTTTTGAAGACAGTGAATTTTGGCCCTAGTTTTACCCTGGCATTCTAATCCCTAAGGAGACAAGAATACAGACGTTGGGTCCTCTGATTTGACTATTTACAACAAGGAATATTAGTAGGAAAAAGCTTCCAAGGAACCAATAAGGCAAAAACTTTAAAGGATTTTAAATTGTTTCTCTTCACAGAAACCAATAACCATAGATAATGCCTTTTTTTAGTAAATCTTTTACGTAGTATGATAAAATGCAGGATCCCCGGAATTAGCACATACCATTTCATGGTTGAATTGGACTTTTCCACACGGCGAGCAGAGTTTTGACGCTGTTTACGGAGACTAAAGAAAATAAAGACAAGCATGCCATATATGGTTGTGTAGATAAATTATCGTAGAAAACATAGGTATAAACAGTTTGTCAGTGTATTTCCTCTGAAAGTGTAAATGAGTGCGATTCTGGGGGAGGGGGGTACTCCGTGTAATTCAGAGTTAGATACCTTGTGTTATTATTATACTATGGGTTAAAAATTTATTACCGAAACAAGTGCCTGTGATACATATGTACATGTATGTCAATATACAGTACTATGCAAAAGTACACAATAAATAAACAAAAGCAAATGCCAAGCAATAACTATTATATAATTAAAAACTTAGGCAAGTCATAAAATATCCCATAATAAAAGTCCAAGGTACAATATATAGATTTTTTTTTACTCAGTTAAAAATGTTCAGGTTAAAAGTATTCTGATTTTATAACAATAAACCAGAATATACTAAATACATGTACTTCTTATACTTATCATAACTTAAACAAGTTGAAACGTACAATATAGTTTAACTGTCCTGCAATTAAACGTTTCCATGGCACCAATAAACAAATCATATTAAATATCCAAACAATAAATCTAGCTTGTTTACTGCAATCCTCTACTCATTCACTGAATAAAGGTACATAGTTACATGATTTTTGATTATGCAACATTAACTGCATATTCAGCAGTAATTCATTAAATGTATTGGCATTTACAAAAACATGAAAAAGAAACATCATCCTTCATTTATAATTAAAACATTCTCTAAATTGTTGAACATTTGAAACAATAAAAAGATCAAAAGTTACTGAAATCTTTTTTTGAAAACAACCATCAGTACTAAAGTTTAAATATAGAAACTGAAAGTTGCCATAAATTTATTGACATGGGCTATCTGACATAAATGATGGGAATTTTGAAGCTATGAAGGTCTATTGGACAGGTTGTTACTTTAAGGCGAGGGCATACACTTCAGTCTGTTGAATGACTCTCTTTCTAACCACTCCCTGTGATCGGGGTGGGCTATGTTAATTAATGCGTAAGCTCGCTGACGGAGGTTCTTTCCAAACAAGTACGCAATACCATACTCCGTGACGATGTAGTGAACATGAGCTCGGGTCGTTACAACACCAGACCCTTAAAGAAACATTGAAGAAAATGTAGGATTATATAAAGCAACTAATAAATTGGATGACATGTTTTACTATCACCTTCTCCAACAACATTTTTATGTGCTAACCACTTTTAAATATGCTTACCAGTTTACTCTTGCCCCTCTTGGTTTTTTATATTACTTTAACTTAACTCTCTTTACTATGGGTACTAGTTTACTCTTGGTCCTCCTGGTTTTGATAAACATACCACTCTTTAGCAAGAACACCAGTTTACTCTCAACCCTCTGTTTTGTATACTTACATTACCACTCTTTAGTATGTGCACCAATTTACTTTCACCCCTTTTTGGTTTTTATATACTCATCACCCTTCAGTATGGGTACCAGTTTACTCTCGTTCCTCTTGGTTTTTGTCTACTTACCTCTCTTTAGTAAGGGCACTTTTACCCCTCTTGTTTTTCTATACTTACCACTCTGTAGTATGGGTACCAGTTTACTCACAATCCTCTTGGTTTTTATATACTTATCGCTTTTTTAGTATGAGTATCAGTTTACTCACACCCTCTTGATTTTTATATACGTGTACTTACCACTCTTTAGTATGGGCACCAGTTTACTCTCGCCTCTCTTGGTGGCTGAAGGCATTGCAATGATGGCTTTTCCCTCGCCATCTAAACTAATAGCAGCACCACGTATAAAATCTATCTGACCTCCAAACCCTGAGTAGAGTCTTTCTCCTATAGAGTCCGCACACACTTGACCAGTGAGGTCAACCTCAATACATGAATTAATGGCAGTCATTCGAGGATTCTGACAAATTATGGCCACATTGTTGGTGAATTCCACATCTCTCATTTCTAAAATAACATTCAAATAAAGTATCACAACTGGCTTAAAAGAATGTTCTTACTTACACTAATCACTAATATAAGCCAAGTCAGTTAAGTAATTTCTACAAGTGTTTAATGTTCTTTACAGACAACACCTTACAGTGCCTTACCTACAGAGGGATTGTTATCAAGGAAGTTGTAGAGTATTTTGGTACCAATGGAGAAGCTGCTGACCAATCGACCAGTCAGAATGGACTTCTCGGAGTTTGTGATGACCCCCCTCTCCACAAGCTCTACCACACCATCACTGAACATCTCAGAATGGACCCCCAGATTTTTATGATGACCCAGTTGTGATAATACTGCATCTGGAATGGCTCCAATACCTGCAGAGAAATCAATTACTTAATGTACATACACATAATGGTTCCAATACCTGTTTAAATTCACATAGTTAAACTTCAGTATCTCAAACCCGGATATCTTGAATACCATGGATATGTCATAGTGATTGGGAAGTCCTAACCACATATTTTTTTAAAGTATTTTACCCTCGATATCTCGAACTCTCATATATCTCAAAGTTTTTTCTTGGTCCTATCGAGTTCCAGATAACAAAGTTTGACTGTACAATACACTGCTGATGCTCTCTATTTTCAGTTTTTATCTTTGGTGTTTCATTGCTTTCTCATGTTAAATATGAAACAATTAATGCAGAATAAAATTTATACATGCTGCAACATACCCAGATATCTTTAAAACTAGGAATGGATCCAAAACAATTAAGTAAGGCCCATGGGTCATAACACTCACCTTACTGACAAATGGATCTCAATCAAAATTCCCTTTAGTATATTAAGTTAATACACTACAGGGCTGAGTCATGGATGAAGACTAATTGAAACATTGAATACTTCAATCAGGAAAACTTTTAGCTCAGTTGAGCTGAACATTTTCATTCAATACTCACTTTTCAAAGACTTGACAAAAACTTGTAAGTAATTCATGTTGTCTCATGATTTTGAATTATAAATACTGTGGACCATCAAATTTTCGCAACACCTTATTTCCGCAAGATAGTATTTATAAGCACAACTTCTGGTTATTGTTTTATATAATCTTTAATAACAAAAATATATTTGAGAATGTCTCGCATAATTACGCAATAATAAAGTTCTCACAAATCAGAATTGATTTATTATAGTCTGGTACCCATTTGTAACGTTGCCCCGTCTACCACTAAGTTTTCTGCAATCAGTTTGCCGATTTTCTTTTCCTCCTCCGTCAATGCTCCTCGCCTAAGTTCATTAAGTGGTTCGCTGTGCTCAACCATGGCATCTATGTGAGACTCGTGAATCACACCATCTCCAAATGTTCGGGGCATATGTTCATTAACCATAGCTGAAAATAAGAAAAAATTCCAGAGCCTTAGTGAGATATTTCAGCTCTTAAAAATGATAGAAATCCAAGCATCAACTTGTCACACTTGTTTCCAGCAAGGCAACAATGCTCAAAAAACCATATTGCTTTTGCTGAAAGAATAATTCTCTGGAGTCCAACAATTACAGATGCCAAACATAAGCTCATTGACAAGATTTCATGTATTGTATTCTACCAGGCAATTATTAATGCTGTTTTAACTACCGGTAAATGGTACCTTTCCCTTTGGATAAAAAGGTAAAAATTCCCCTTTAAGTTAGAGGAAATTTCTTGTTTAAACATACATATAACATTTAAAATATATTTATTTCTGATACTCTAGAAATGACTGCCCAGATAAGCTCTCAGAAAGTAGATTTTTGGAATATTTATCTGAAATTTTCCAGGGGGCATGTCCCTGTACTCCCCTGTAGTATATTCACACCTCCAGCACTAAAGTCAAGCATCATTCTCATTTTTCCCTTTAATATGAAAAGGGTAGTCAAATAAAACAGGTAGATAAATCCCTGTCTACTGAATTAAAAATAAAATGCAAATTAATTTAACCAAAGATACATATACTATCCTTCTTGTTCATGACAAGTACATGTACTTTAATATATTCTATATTCCTCATACTCTATATTACATGAGGATGCTCAATTGCTTGCATATGATTAGCTAAATACAATAATTTATTAGTGGCAATGTTCTTCAAGAAACTTATCAAAGATTTTTCCTAATTATTCCTCATATTTAAAAAGATAAGCTGGATGCCTTCTGTGACCTTGCTCTGACCCCTGGGGTCAAAAGTTCACTTGAGCCTTTTTCTTTTTGTGTTTGAGTCTGTGTCTCAGGTGAGCTAAATATTATTATTTATTTGGTTTGTTACTGACTGTCTACAGAAATATATTGGGTTGACATATCTCATAGTGGGCTCCGCCTTGCCCTCATTGAGTTTTATCAACTCAAATCGCTTGTGATGCAGACACAACAAATCTGATGTCATTTCTTAAAAGGACCACTACTCTAATTTCAAAACAAAACATTATGGAAAGTGTTTATAACCATAATAAATTATTTTTAATATTGAAATGTAAACACTATGCATTGACCATTTTACCAGATATTATTTTCACTTGCCAGGCATACAAATACAGCCGGCAGTCACATGCCATTTTTAAACCAATGAAAGTATGAAATTTCAATCTGAAGAAATGCTTGTATTCCATACCTATAATGTATCTTGCATTCTGTATGGCTGATCTGGTACAGTCTACACTGGTACCCAGTGAACAGAATCCATGTTTATCAGGTGGCGCCACTGTAACAAGTGCCACATCAATATCAATGATGCGGCGCCTGAACAAGTGAGGAATTTCACACAGGAAGATAGGAATGGTATCTGCCCTTCCCTCATTGACTGCTTTTCTGGCATTAGCTCCAAGAAACAGGGAGTTTGATCTGAAGATTCCTATAAATTAATGAAATTCAAATGTAGAAATGAAAATTTTGTCATCCAACAGTTTTGATCATTGTGTGCATGGACACACAGAAAACCATACAGGAGGTCTTATACATTTAACCAAACAAAATGGAAAACTCAGAACTAAGAATTACGCATTTTTTCGACGACACCTTAACAAATGTAAACCTATACCCCATATGTAATTTTATTACTATGAAAAAGTCAATAAATCATTGCACGATAACTGCGGTACTGCTCTTTTGCAGGGCAAAATGATGTAGTTTGGTGAAAAATGCCGTAAAAGTAATTGTTTAATATACGTCATTTAATTATCTGTCAATGAAAACTTCGCCAAACATTATTATTTTGCGCTGCAAAAGAGTAGTACTGCAGTTACTGTGAAAGGGCTAATTAAGTTTTTTAAAAAACATTAAAACCACTACCTCTGCATTAACTACCTTCATATTCCGGATTATTGTAGGTGCCAGGCCCCTCTGTATGAATATGCATGATTTCCACATTTCTGAGCCCCGCCTTCTTCCCGTGTTCTGTCATTGCCTCCACGAGTTTGACTGGGGTTGCTGCAGCACCATGGATGTACACACGACTGTCTGTCAAAAAATTAACACTAAGTGAAATCTTTGTCAATGTTCTAAAGTGCATCTCCAAATAGTGACTAAATGCATGCAGACAGCTGTCTAGAGGACTCCACAAAATTGTGTCTACTTTTCATGGTAGTGCTTTTATATTTATTTTTAAAAAAAATTATATGAAGCTTTCAGCTTGATTTTGCCTTTTTTGGAACCCAGTTCCAAGCAAAAACTACCATGTACCACTACTTTAAAAGTTTAATCGTTTCCAATTTGAGGGAACAAAATCTTTCAGAAATCTGTCTTTAAATTCTGCATTCCAAAACAAAACTTTTATCAATGCATGGTATTAAATGTGTCGCCAATAAAAATGAGTAGCTGAAACATGTTAAAGTATATAAATTGACTATGAGCTGCAGGGCCTAGTTATACCATACCCGACTGTATCACTTGGACTGCCTCCTCGGCAGTTTTATACTCCGGAACTCTGTCGTATAACGGATGGAAAGGTTCGGGTGAATACAGATAAAACGCTCTTTTGAAGCATGCATTTATAAGAGATCGTCCAACCGCTGTTCTTTTACAAAAAACATTCATCTTGCAGTTCTATAATTTAAAGCGAAGGAACATTCTCGAGGGTTTCCGAAGATATTTGTTTGATGACCTTTACCGATTAAATTGGTGCGGATCTATACATTTTCTCAATTTTGGAGGTGGATGTTTCCATTCTTATACAGTGATCGCTGATAATGAGGCATTTAGATAAAATAGAGATAAATCTTTTGGAAGAATGTTTTTCAATAGGTGTAATGAAAAATACATGTATTGTTTATAGTGAAAGAATTTTAAAATAAAATATTTTCTATAATATATTTAATCACAGGTACTTGGGTCTTGGTTTATAAATATGTATGTACCTTATTGATATGTAAAAAAAGTACTTTTTTTACATATCAATAAGGTACTTTTTTTACATATCAATAAGGTACATACATATTTATAAACCAAGACCCAAGTACCAGTGTATTTAATCACTTAAAATGGTGCTAAGGGCAATTACTCCTCCTCGTGTATCTTCTTTATTGTACTTTTAATGTCAAATGGTTTCTCTGATATTCACAATTCATGCATATTTATAAAGTAACAATTATTTCAGAACTTTTAACCAGTTTTTACATAGTTTTAATAATACTGTTTTCTAAAAATGTACGATTTTTCCATGCTGACATAAATGTATATACCTCTGTTTATGTATATCTGACATCTTAAAAAATATGGCAACCTATACATTATTTGTGATTATTAATTAATTTAGAATATATTTAGTGAAAATAAATGCACTTTTTCTACTTTGAACCCATAAAATTGTGAGGGTGGAATTATCTTAAACTTTACATTCCACTAACAAGAGGTCCATGGGCCACAACGCTCACCTAAGTCACTTTGTCCTGCTGTTCTTCATCAGCAGATTTTTTTTTAAATTTAACCCCTCTTGAATTTTATTAAAAAAAAAAATTGAGTCTATATTGTGGATCAAAATGTTGCCCTAAGGAAGCTATGATTTATCGAAGTTGATCCACACAACATTGGGATACTTCAATATCAACATGACTCTGATATTCTTATATTATTTGGCCCCACCCTACCCCCAGGGGATCATGATTTGAACAAACTGGAATCTACACTATGCAATGACGTTTTTACATCAGATTAATCTTTTCTGGTCAAATGGTTCTCGAGAAGGAGATTTTTAAAAGCTGCCAATACATTTTCACTTATTCTTAATTATCTCCTATTGAAAGAGGACATGGCCCTTTATTTGAATTAACTATAGAATCCCCTTCATCCAGGGATGCTTTGAGGCAAGTTTGGTTGAACTTGGTCCAATGGTCCTGGAAAAGAAGTCGAAAATGTGAAAAGTTTACAGACAACAGGCAGACGGACACTATTCGATAAAACTCACTTTGGGTCAAGAATAGAATAAAATAGAAAATCTGCATAAATTTTAAATTAATATAAATGTATATTTTTAATGATAATAATTGATATCTCTGATTAATAAATATAGAAAATATATTGTTGTCACATTTTTAAAATGTCAGACATACATCAGAATGTACATGAATAAAAGTACATTTTTTTTGTTTCTTTCTGCTCTTTTGTTTGTTTGTTTTTTGTTGTTGTTTTTTTTTTTTGTGTGTGTTTTTTTTTTGTTGTTTTTTTTTCGACCATGCCAAGAAAAGGACGCATTCTAGTTTTAGAGCGAACTCAATAAAAGCGGAATTAGCGTTGATTTGTGATTTTTCCGCAGGGAGATGTGCGCGAGGCAATTAATTTCAGCAGTTTTGAGGGAAGGATCTTAAGTTTTACTGGTTTTAAATTAAAGCTAGAATACTTATTATTTAGAAGCCTTTGCACCTTTTTTCCCGTTTTTTTTTTTTTTTTTTTTTTTTTTTTTTTTTTTGAGGGAGGGGGAGATTTTCCATGCAAATCATATGCGGTTAAAAAAGTAAAAAAGAAGAAAAAGAAAGTGAAATAAATTATAGTAAACTAATTAATTGTTAAGTAAGAATTAGACGCCTTTCAAATTTTTCAGTGTTTCCATAACAAAATATTTTTTTCCTAGTATAAATTAACATCGGGCACGATGAACTTGGTTGTTGTGGAAGTCTCGCGCCTTATTAAGGTATCATACCGGTAATTGATCAATGAAAATGAACTTAGTCAATTGTAGTAGTTCCATTCATATAAAATTATTATTTTTTCCTTTTGATTTTTTTTTAATTTCCTTCCAGTCTATTTTTACAATTTTGGTACCTGTGTCTAGTGCTTTTTACATATTTTGTAAACAAAGGTTTTTGACAGGAACTATTTTTTTTCAGGGCATAGGAGGCTACTTCCTGGGGTAGAAGTTTATTTTTCTTTTACTAAGAAAACGGAAAACTTAGGATCCACCCCCTCAAATCTGCTGCCGTTAATTGTCTCGCCAGCGTTAGGGGAATATGGGTGATTTGCATCAATTACACTTTTATTGACTCCATCGCTGTGGAAAAATGGACGGGATTTCTTGGCATGTCTGAGAAGTTAATGTCATACTTGATAAAGGTGTAAATATTGAGTTTATCTGTTTTATTTTTCAACAGGCATTTAGCCTCAGAGAAAACGTTAAAAGACAACGTTTTAAAGTACCCCATTATTGATAAGCAGGAATCGTTGTTGTTTACTTAAATGGGGGGAAATACATCCAAATAAAGTGTTCATTTAATTTATCTTGGTCTAAGAAAATGTTAAGAATACTTCCAATGATTTAAATTTAATTGATTTTAGATCTATGGACAGTTCACTCTAACTGTAGAACAATACCATAGAATTAGAGCTCAATCTTTACTTTGTATAAATTATGGATTTTAGGGAAACCATTAAATAGCAGAAATATAATGAAGAAGAATACATTGATAGAGTATATACTTGAATGAAAGAATATAATTAAGAGTTACCGCCCTTTGCACATCATAGACTATTACCAATTTTTTATCGCACCGATTGAAAAAAAATCGTACAAAAGACGTTCTCCTATCGGACAGGAAGTTCAACCAATGAAAATCTTTTGAGATTTTTTTTTCTCAATGTTATCTCATTCACCATTGGCTACATATCTATGAAAAACATTTATAAACTATTTGAAGTTTTGGAATTATTGATTATAGTTAAAATGTTGTATTTCGTTGGTACATGAAAGAATTCTAGTTCCCACAGATTTCAATATCTTGCTAAATTATATTCAATTATATACACTAACATGTTAGGTCACCTGATGCTATACATGTAATTACGTTTGAAAATGAAATATCAGATTTCCAAATTCGGATTTTTGATAACAGTAAATAATTTTTTGAAATCAAGAAATTAAATATTTTATATTCAAAACACCAAAATAATTTATTATATTACATTAAATAGAATATAATTCTTGATACCAGAAAATATGAGTTAAAAATGATATTTTAATATCATGAAATGATCAAGTGTCGAGTTTATTAAACCAGAAAGGAAAGAAAGAAGGCGTACAAGGCGAGGACGATCCCCCGCTCTGAGACAATGTGTTTCTCGGAAAAGTTTCATTTTTCTAAACTTATGTTTTCAGTAATGTCATCTTCAACACATTTGATTCATTTATTTATTTTATTGACAGTACAAATACAAAATTTACAACGTGACAATTCTCATAGATAACGAACAGTGATGTAGCAAAATACGTCTGAAGTTTCTTCTTCATTACAGTGCAGTTGATATTTTACTAGAAGTAAAACTAAAGGCTTAGAAGTACATTTACTGGACCCTGCAGTGTATTTTTGTAAGGATTTTTATGAAGGGCTGGAATCCGGTTTGAGTATAGTAACTCAAATTCAATTCCATTGACTGGTATATCAAAATTTGAAATTGAAACATGATTTGAAGAGTTCTATCTTTTGAAAGAGAATAGTGAGTATTAGTTAGAACACCAGATGAGGAACTAATGCTAATTTCCTCTAAAATGTCATTGTAATAATGAGTCTTACCAATACCGTGTTGTTACAAGCTTTGTCAGCTGGAAGGAAATATGGAGATAACGAACAGTATTTAAGCTCAAAGTCAATTTAAACAATACAAATCGGAAGCAGACTCAGCAGAGCAAATACGGACCTACAAAAATATCAGAGGTAGGATCAGGTGTCATGGAGGAGTGAGCAGCCCCTGCCGACCGGTCACACCCGCCGTGTGCTTCTTGTCATGATCGGAAAAAAATCTGAAGCTTAAGACAATTCAGTGTGTAAATAATGGCCTAACAATTAGTATGAAAAACGTCAGTCAGCATTTGACTCAATGATACATATAGGCTGTGTTTGCTGATAAGGTCATTGTATCGACCACAAAACCAATACATATTCTCAAGTAGTCTTTCTAATTCTTTTGTCACGGAGAGCCTACTGAAAACGGAAGACTAGTTGGTACGGATTTTGTCTTTATACTGTCTTATATATCTAAAACATTTTATGCAATCTGACAAAATTTCGAGGCCTTCTCCTTCATATCTAGTCTATGTCGGCATACTCCTCAAGAGAATTCAAATGAAAATAAAGTTCTGTCGCCATTTGAATGATCGGGCTCCCAAATTTTGGAACTTTTGAAACGATTGCTTTTGGTTCGTTGCTTTTAAATTATAATTATTTTTTCCATTTAGGAGTCTGTAGCAAAAGGGAAAGGGGAAAAACCTGTTGCTCGTATCTTGAATATTAGTGTGTTATTAAATTTTTATGATAATCAACAATGCTAAAGTTGCACCGAATACAATAACCGATTTTCAATTCAAAAATGGATTAAAAATTTATTCATCCTTCAAGATAGAGCTCTGAATTTTGACACACATTCGTCTAACTCGCTATATAGGGACGTTTGAAGTCGCTTTTATCGATTGTACAGGCTTATTTAATGATGGTTCATACAATTAGAGAGAGCATTTATTCAAAGAATGCATTAAACACATACCCCCAACTAAGTTTAAGATCTATTTAATTTGAATAAAAGTTATCTTTAATTCTACAGAGACTCGTTTGTTGATAATGAGGTTTGAAATAAATGATACAGTATAGTCACCTATCAAGAAGAATTTGTCAAATGTAAAATTAAGTCAAGGCTATAGATTTGGAATGTATAATAGTCAAGTATTTTTAAGTAAAGAATATCAGAAGAAGACCTTTGGAATCAAAGATCCAGGGTCTCAAATATAACAGATCTCCATAATCAAAGATATACGGGGGGGGGGGGGTGGTCTCCGACATATAACAGGGTCTTTTGGGTATAATAGATACTGCTATGTTAAAGTAACAACCACCTCGTTTATCTACCTTGTCTAAAAGTTAATGATATAAGGTGAAAATAGCATTTAAAAAAGTAGAACGAATTACACGGCATGATTTATTTGGTGTCATAACTTTTAATCATTGCTATTTGGTTTCAAAATGCATGAAGTTCACCTGCGCAGATATTTTTTTAACACATATAAATTCTTTTATAAGTCTTATAAGAATCAAAAATAGGATTTAGCGAAGTTTTGCAAATTCTCTAAATAATGCTGAGTAGAAAGTAGAATTAAAACAACGGCAATATAAGCGGGGAGAATAGAAGAAGAAAAAATCATATATTCTGTTCAATCTTTTTATTCATTACAAGAAAATATTTTATTCAATTACATCTGATGTTTGCATGAAAAGTATTTCATTTTATACGAAAAAATGTCATGATGCTGAGTTTAAATTTCTCTGGTCGAAAACCAGAATAACCCATGTATGGGTGATGTGTCAGTTGTCTATATGTCTGTATGAAATAGCTGTCTCTTTGACCACAAATACTGGTAAATTGCTAGTCGTCCAACAATTAATCTTGGTGCCCTGTATAAATATAATAACTCTGATGGTAGTGCAGAGTTGAAAAATTATAAATATTATTTTTCTCATTTATTCCAAGCTCTCTGATTGACTGAAACTTGATCACATGATCAAGTATGTAACAGCATTTCGACTTGTGTTACTATTTAAAGATTCTGAAATGCATATCGACTTGATGTTTCTAAAAATGGATATAATCTCCTGTAAAACAATAGTGCTGATTTCACAATAGCTAATATAGTGTATGATTTGATGTTTCTGGTAAAAAAAAAAAAATTATGCTTCAACTCCTGTGATGTTCTGTAATCATTGGTAAGACGTAACAATGCCTTGAACATGTTGAATAAGGATCTACTTTATATTAAAATATATTAGACATGCTTTTTCATAATTAGATACAAAACATAATAAAACAAATATAGCCTTTTAAATTATTGAATTCCCTTAATTACTCTATCAGTATTAAGGAACCACAATCATATTAAACAGCTTAATTTATTTCGATCTCTAGTTTCTATGAAAAACAAGAGAGAAAGCTTGTGGCTTAATGTTCCCACTTCGTGCTCGGTCGATATGCTTTTCTGTGAAGTCGACCTCATGAAAGGGCTATATATGTTATATATATATATATATATATATATATATATATATATATATATATATATATATATATATATATATATATATATATATATATATATATTAACAACACTGTATATCCTATGCGTCGGATCTACTAAATAGATACAAAGTCACGTATGGAAATCTATATAGAGCTCTAAATATGACCAACGACACGAACAATTAAAAATTGTCAAATTTTTGGGAGGCCCTATCCCTTCCTCAGGACAAAGAAAAGGTTAAAAGGTTATGAGAAATCAAAACATATGCGAACAAAACATCTTCACAACTACCTACTAAACCATGTTTTTTACAATTTTACAATTTGAATTTTGATGTTGAAAACTTAATAATTGGGTGGGGAAAACTACGTGTAGAGAGTAGTATTGCTTGGTATTGTCAAACATTTACGCCTAATTGAAATTCATCCTGGTGAAGTCATTCAGTTTGTTAATACCATCAGGGCGGAATGACTTTAGCCTGTGTATCCAGAATTTTTTTGTGCTTTTTCTCTGAGCATTGAAGGTCACAAATAGGAGACAGTATTGGTTATTGACCATGGCCCAAATGGGCCGATGCTTAGAGAAGAAGCTCCAATGAACTTTTAAAAAATTTTTAATCACAAAATTTTATCAAAATCAATAACATCAGAACGTACGATTTTTCAACACTTTATGCAACCATTCCCCACGATAAACTAAAGTCCAGGCTTTTTGACATCATTGACAGCTGCTTTTTTTAAAAAATAAAAATGGAATTCGTAAATTTACTTACCTTGTCATTGGTCATTTGCAAAATCATTTTATTATAAACATTCTGATTGTAAACACAAGTACCCCGAAATTGATATTAAAAAGATGACTTAAGTTTCTGATTGACATTATCTAAGTAGTTTTTTTTGGAGATCAAGTTTTCCAACAATCTTGCGGAATTCCCATGGGTACTAATTTCACCCCGTTATTAGCAGACTTATTTTTGTATTCATATGAAGATAAACTTCCACATTTAAGTAGAAATCTCTTGCTTTGGTCTTCAATTCGACAATTTTATATATCGACGTAGTTTTATCAATTAACAATGGTCATTTCCGTTCTTACGTCGACATGATATATCCCGGTGAGCTTGAGATAAAAGATATCACAGAATCTGACACATCTGTTTCATATTTGGATATTTTATTAGAAAAAGACGTTAACGGTAATCTAACAACAAAAGTTTATGATAAACGTGATGACTTTAACTTTTCAATCGTCAACTTCCCTTATTTATGCAGCAATATACCCTTATCACCTGCATACGGGGTTTATATCTCTCAGTAGATTCGATACGCAAGAGCATGCTCTACGTATGAACAATTTCTAAAACGGGGTAAATTATTGACAAACAAGTTGATGAAACAAGAATATCAACAGTCTCGTTTAAAGTCATCATTTCGTAAGTTCTATGGTCGATACAATGACTTTGTCAGCAAATACAATCTTTCATTAAGTCAAATGCTGACTGACTTTTTTCATACTATACTAATAACAACAGGTAATGCCTACTCTTCCATGGTACCTCTTACATGTTCTGATCTGCATGAAGTATAAATTGTCCAATATTTTCAACTTTATTCTCTATTTATGTATAATCATGAATTGCTTTTCCTAGATAAATCATTTTTAGCTGGGTTTTTTTTTCCGTACGGATTACGCTATAAATGTTTGCTAAATAAATAAATCATGAAGAAATTCCCGTTTGGTTTTTTGGCAGGGGGCGTCAAGTTCACAAGTACTTAGGACAGTCATAATTTAAATAATCCGAAGAGCAAACTAAAATTTTGACCGTGTTTTGTTTTGTGATTTGTGTTTAAAACTTAAAAGCGCATGAATTTTATCAATCAATCATCTGTATTGATGGGGAATATTGCGTTCATGTGTGTGCGAAAATTTTTAAATTCTTACTGAAATGATACACTTTATAGGAATTGATGGCTGTGATAATAAAGAATGAATGTGAAGTCTTCATTGATCAGTATTAACCCTCACGAGACAGAGTCTGTTAAAGATCAGAATGATTGTTTTGCAATTGCACTCGAGATATGCTTCTTCTTTTAAATATAATTTGATTCTTTTTAAATAAATAGTATTCTGCATTTTGTCACACCCAAGGCGGAAGTTATAAGCACACATTCTTCAAGGTTGAAAAAAAAAAACAACAATATGAACGCCGAAGTATTGAAAAGCACCTTTATTTAAAATCAAATCCTATGATAAAAATAAAAGATGTAGATAATTCATTTGAATACCGGCGATAGTTATTGCAGATAATTAACAGAAGGTCGTGTTTCACGTATTGGTAATTAGGTCCTTCTCATATGGTCGTGAAAATGGATAGAGTTCATTATCAAGCAAGTCTTCTGTCTCTTTCAGAAGTGACAAACGATCCGCCTGAGCAGCATCTCTGTAAAAAAAAACAGAATTAATAATTCTTGATGCTTCATATATTACCGACTCAAATTTGTCTACTGCACAGAAAAACAACAACCAAATTTAATAAAATAATCTTGATTCTTCATAAATTTCTGGCTCAAATTAGTCTATTGTACAGAAAAAAAACAGATTCAATTAACCTTGATACTTCATAGATCACCGACTTTAATCAGTCTACAGTAGGAAAACAGAATTAACCAGAAGTATTTGTGAAACACTGATGCCCCTGTAAGACATCTCATGGCAAAGGTTAAAGTTTTTCAAATGCAAGTCAAACTCCAAGGTCAAGAAATAAAATTTATACCAATGAAAGCTCATGTCAGAAGGAATACACATGTGAAATATGAAGGCACTTTCTGCAACTATTCAAAAGTTATGGTCAACGTTGATTTTTTTTTATGAAAAGTAGGTGAAACTTCCAGTTCAAGGTCATGAGGTCAAAGATATCGGTACGTACGAAAAGGAGTTGTCACAAAGAATAAATCTTTAAAATATGAAAGTCCTAACCCAGCATTTAAAAGTTACAAGGAGAAAATTTTTCAAAAGTAGGTTTAACGCCAACGCCAAGGTCAAAATATCAAAATTATTGGTACAAAGAAAGTTCTCGTCACAAGCAAAACACCTGTGAAAAATGAAAATCCTAGCACTAACCATTCAAAAGTTATAAACAATAAAAAGTTTTTTTTTCAAAATTAGGTCAAACTCTAAGGTCAAGGTCAAAATGTCAAAATTGTTTGTACGTATCTAAGGGATAGTATTGTCACACTGAAAAAGTTAAAGATAGCGAATAGTGATCGATCTAAAAAAAAATCTAAACAATGCAAATTTGTGAACAGGGCATAAAACACGGACCCCCGGAAAGTCCTGAGGTGGGATCAGGTGCCTAGGAGGAGTAAGCGTCCCTTGTTGACCGGCCATACCTAAATCCCTAAAATTTAACCATTCAAAAGTTATGGTCAAGGTCAGAGTTTTCAATCCTCACAACGTCAGGGGTACTAGGTCAACTCGTTTCCGTTGGACCTCTGACAAATTTCATTCCATATCTTCGGCCTTGCCTCTCTCATTGAGAAGCACCGATCAAATTGAAGTAGACAATATAGACAGAAAGGAATCAGTTGAAACTTAAAATGCACTTGTTACGCATTGTTTATGACCGAAAGGCTTACTTACTGTGATTGGTTGAGAGATAAGAAAAACAATCAAAATTTATAATTTTTCCGGAAGACTTCGCTGCAGTCAGCCCGCAAGATATCAAATGAAATTTGTCAGGGGTCCAACCTCAACGAGTTGACACAGGACCACTGACGTTGAGAGGATAAAATTTTTCAAAATTAGGTCAAATTCCAAGTTCAAGGTCAAAAAGGTAAAAACATATGTCCCCAAGGTAAGGTCACATCACAGGGGATACATGGAGTATGAAAGCCCTGGCACTTAGTTATGACTAAGGTTAAAATTTGTAAAATTTTGCAAAAGTGGATCAAACTCTAAGGTCAAGTGGACAAATACATTAGTATCCAAAAAGATCTTGTCACAAGAAATACACATATGAAACACATGTATGAGATCAAAAGTTATGGGCAAGGTTGAAGTTATTTCAGACAGACAGACAGGCGGACAGACAGAGCAAAAACTATTTGCCCCAAATCTTCAATTGTCTATTACCGAAATAAAATAAAATCAAGTAAGTCAAGTAAATAATGTGGCAAGGTTGTTGTGACTGACGTTTATCATACTAATTGCTAGGTCATTATTTATACACTGAATTGTTGACGGATTTTTCCGTTATTTCTCATCATGACAAGGAGCACACAGCGTGTGTGACCGGTCGGCAGGGGATGCTCACTCCTCCATGGCACCTGATCCCACCTCTGTTTTTCAGAGGTCCGTATTTTATCTGTTCCTGATTTGTATTGTTTTAATGGATTTTGAGCTTGAATATTGTTCGTTATATCCATATTTCATTCATGTACATGTCTAATAGATAAGCACAGTGAAGCACATTTATGACCAAATAGCTATTCATATTTCTAGAGTTATGGTATAGTCAGTGATGTGCTGAATCACAGGAAGTATATTTTACCAAATGACCTCGAACCCGATCTGCATTTATCCTAATATGGAATCTAATTCAACAATAATTTACAGGCCTTGTATCTCGAATGTTTGCAGCAGATCTGGAGTGTTAAATCCGTTTATTAATTATTCTCTGTCAACAAGGCAATTCTCCAGAGAAATTACTGTTATTAACAATTTAACAGAGAAAATGTGAAGATGAGGTTTAGTGTCGAGAGTACGTCAAAAAGGGAATTAATTCAGTTGTGGGACATTTCAAAAAGAATTCTACTTTGACAGTGTAACAGAATTATGCATTTGAAACCTGTATTCCCTATGGTCTTGATAATTTACAATACACGGACAATCTTCTTTTAGTGTGCCTCGAGTTAATCTATAATGTCTTTTCGATCTCTCTTCAAGCAAGATACATCATTATTTTTTTTTTGCTATATTGTAGGAGAACTAAAATTTAATGTTACAAATTAAGGCTCATGTACTTAAAATACTCCTTGAAGTTGCACTTTTGATCCTAACATTTTATTTATTAATCAAATCTATAGATTAACGATAAATAACACAAGTTAAAAAAATGATGCATGGATCGGTATAGATTTTTTGAATGATTTTGAAAAGAATGACACAGATAATAAATTCCTAAAATATGGTATTAAAAATTGCCATTTTTCTTAATAAATTTATACAATTTTTTCACACATTTTGAGTTGAGACATTCTTACATAATCTTACATAATTTCTAATTTTACTCTAGCAATCGTTAATCAAGTTGTCTATAAGATCATAAATCTAGTAGACTTACTGCTGATTTTCTTTAAAAAGTTTGATTTTTTTATCCTTAAAGTAAAGGAAAATAATGCATCATTGATCATTTTTTTCCAAGTGTAAAATTAATCTGCAAATTAAGATATCTGAAATAATGGAGTCAGCCATACAAAGAAAACTTAAGACAGTACAAAACAGATAGGCCAAATTTTTTCTTAAATTCAAATTATTTGAAACTTTGATATTTTGTAATATCTCTTTTTATGTGTAATATGAACGAAATTCAACCTTACATTTTTTGCCCACAAAGATTGAAATATAGATATATGATTTACAATATTGCCTATCAGACCCCAGTAATGGGAGGGTGAAATAAGACATTCAACATTTAAATGTGCATTGTTTAAACATTACCATTTGATACATTACAAATACGAGGTGTGTTATGCTGTAAAGGTGACCTTTTTGTTACTGTAATTCAGTAAAGTACATTGATACTAATGTATATGAGAGCTCTGTGATGTAAAAATAAAACATATCTAGCGTATTATCAATTAATAATAGTTACTTTCATTCATATGTCGACTCGATATATCCCAGTGAGCTTGAAATAAAAGATACCACAGATTCTGACACATTTTTTTCATATTTAGATATTTTACTAGAAAAAGACGTTAATGGTAACCTAACAACAAAGTTTTATGATAAACGTGATGACTTCAACTTTTCAAGCGTCAACTTCCCTTACTTATGTAGCAATATACCCTTATCACCTGCATATGGGGTTTATGTCTCTCAGTTGATTCGATACGCAAGAGCATGCTCTAAATGAGGCAAACCATTGACAAACAAGTTGATGAAACAAGGATATCAACAGTCTCTTTTGAAGTCATCTTTTCGCAAGTTTTACGGTTGATACAATGACCTTGTCAGCACATACAACCTATCATTAAGTGAAATGCTGACTGACGTTTTTCATACAAATTGTTAGGCCATTATTTATACACTGAACTGTCTACGGATTTTTCCTTTTTTTTATCATGACAAGGAGCTCACGGCGGGTGTGACGGGTCGGCAGGGGATGCTCACTCCTCCATGGCACCTGATCCCACCTCAAAATTTTGAGGTCCGTGTTTGCTCTGCTCCAAATTTATATCGTTTCATTGGACTTTCGAGATTGAATACTGTTCGTTATCTTCATATTTCACTCTAAATATGACTTTGACTTTTAATCGTACATTAAGTCTGGAGGCTCCCTCTACATATGTCCTAATACTGTAAGTCATTTTAATTCCACGATTTAAAAATTTCACGATCAAAAATTACCAATAAACGTTTTTAAAAACTTATGATAGCATTCACGATGGGTTTAATTTCGTGGGAAAATAATGAATCGCGAACATAGTGAAATTAAAACCATCATGATTATTTTCCAATCTACAGTATCAGGTCTCTAGTATATAGGAATAAAATTTTGCATTTTATTCAATAACAGGCGGTTGAATCGCATGTAGGTAGCAAATGGAGGCTTTAGAATGTCCAATGTTTGGGTTATCTAATTTTGTTTTAAACTGAATAGGGTAAATACTTGTCATAGTTTATATTTTTCCTTCCAAGATACCGTTCACGGTAGCTCAGTCGGTAGAGCGCTCGCTCCGTGATCAGGAGGTCGTGAGTTCGAATCTCGACCGCGACTGACCTAAGTCGATAAAAAAATGGGTAGCAACTGTTCCTTCGCCATGCGCTCTGCACTTTGAAGTGAAAGTTGCGGGTTCTTTCGGATGAGGCACGACAAAGATCCCTCACTGCTCATTGGCCCTGAGTGCCGAGTAAGGTCAAAATTTGAAGCCCTTCACCGGTATATGGTGACGTCTCTATATGAGTGAAAAATTCTCGAATGGGACGTAAAACAACAATCAATCAATCCTTCAAAGATAATTGAACATTGACATTAGAATGATTTTAATCTTTTTTCTAGCGTGTTTTATAAGAACTGATTTTAAAGGTGTTTTGTACTACCTTTATAAGATTGTTTTTAAAATACACATCACAAACTTTTTCAAAAATTTTCAAGGTTAGATGTGAGGAGCATATCAAATAATGTGACGATATGGCTGGCAGGGGATGGTTGCTACT